AGCATGGCTGGCTGGGGAATTCTGGGAGTTGAAGTCCATACGTCTTAAAGCCGCTGAGATTGAGAAACACTGCTGTAAAGCATCAATTCCCACCTTCTGGAACAGGAATTGCTTTTTAAATTTCTGTCCTTCGATCATTTGCTGAAAATGCAGGCGCCCTGCAAGGGGGAAAAATTGGCAACTCTTTCTATAGAGCTGGCTTGATAAATGCATATTCCTTCTGCCATGTCTTTCCTTTGTCTTCCCCCTTTGAATGGGGAGTAAAAATCTGGCTCTATTTTGGCAGGTCAAGAATCGGCCCACCCACATCGAGTGGGAAAACTGTAGCCCGGATAAACTCTATACTTTGGTTCTTACCGATCCTGATGCTCCCAGCAGGAAGAACCCCAAGTTCAGGTGAGTAAATTGGGAAGCTTGGAAGGTGCAAGGAGTCCTCCTACGTGGGGACGCGTTTTAGCACGGTGCAAGAAGTTGCAACTTTTCTGCATTTTGCCTGTGGCAGAAATTGCATCACCTTCTCTCCTTTTTTTAGGGAATGGCACCACTTTTTGGTGACCAACATGAGAGGCAATGATATCAGCAGTGCGCATGTCTTGTCAGACTATGTTGGATCTGGTCCTCCCAAAGGAACGGGTAAGTGACCAGTGGATCCTTTTATTAGTGCTTTTTATCCTTTCAAAGCAGAGTAAACAGTTGCTTTTTAGCTTAGTTAAACAGTCCTCTCCTTATGAATTTTCGAGTTACGAACTTTCGTTGATACGAACAAATCTCCAACAATGAACGTCCCGGAAGTTTATGGTGCCCTGCATACGTATGCCTGGAAGTTTACAGTTGCCAGCTGTAAACTTCCAGATGTACATGTTCAGCGTGCTGTAAACTTAACATCTCCTTACCTACTCCCTCCCTCCCTCCCTCCCCTCCCTTACTCCCTCCCTTACTCCATCCATCCATCCATCCATCCATCCATCCATCCATCCATCCATCCATCCATGCCCTTACCTAGTCCCTCCCTCCCTCCCCCTCCCTCCCCTTACTTTGTCTGTCTTGTCTGTCTATCCATCTATCTATCAGTCATCATATGTATCTGCTGCCTGACTCTCAGCAGCGTTAGGAGGGAGGCAGGGCTGAGCTGGATGCCTCTAAGGGGGTGTCTCCTTTTTGTTTCCCGTGCGTTCGCAGGGCTCCATCGCTACGTCTGGCTGGTTTATGAGCAGCCGCAGCAGCTGAATTGCAACGAGCCCATCCTGAGCAACCGTTCGGGGGACAAACGTGGCAACTTCCAAGTGTTGGCCTTCCGCAAGAAATACAAGCTGGGTCCCCCCACTGCGGGCACATGTTACCAAGCCGAGTGGGATGACTACGTGCCCAAACTCTACGAGCAGCTGTCTGGGAAATAAAATCTCGGCGCCCTGCCCCAGTTCCCCTTTCTTGGAAAATCTCCCATTAGGATAAATGGCTAGAACCGTAAAGAGTCCCTGGTTTACTCTGGACGCATTGCTGAAAATGAATCCCACTGAATCAGTAACATGGCTGCCCTGGGAATAGGGAATTGCATAAATTGGATTTCTTACAATGTAGATGTGTGGCAAAACCCAGGGCCTGTGCAGTGCTTGGCATTCATTTTGGACCTTGCTTTCAGAATACACGGGAGCACAGCCCAGCCCCTGTGATGCATGAAAGCAGCTGCGTCTTTTCCCAGGATCCCATAGATACAGTGGTGCGGCTGCACATTTCAGGGAATGTGGCTGTGGTAATGGGCTGCTGATAAGTCTTGGTGTTCCTGCATGTTCCAAAGCATCCTTTTTGAATCCGATTCAGAGCATTGCACAGCCCTAAAAGTTCATGGCTCTCTTTAAAGCCAAGGAAGTGGGGGAGGGTGACATTTTATTTGATTCTCTGACTTCTCTCGACATCCCCCTCTCGTGCTCACTTGTCCAGATCCATTATTTTCCTTAAATTGATGTTAGGTTAGCAATGTCAGCATGATGAGGAACAACACTGAGATGGTAGGGGGAATCTCTGTGACAGTGATACTCCGTGATTGACATTTGCCTCTGTCCCATCCATTAAAACAGGAGAGCAGGGAGGCAGTTAAAAAACTTAACCAACTCTCTAACGATCTGAATAGGCCAAACTCGTTACTCTGAATTTCCAGCAAATAGTAAAATGGATAAATAGAACTCTGTTGGAAGGGAGCGGCTGGCTTTGTGAACCAAAATGCAAAACGGCTCTTTTGAATCGGAGTCAGTGCATTATGGGCCCTGGGTTTAACGAGCAGTCTTCATTATTTTAAGTTTTTTACCTGCAGCTGAATTATAGGTTGCATTGCTGATTTAGAGAGGCTTCGGTCTCGAGAATAGAAAACACCTTTTCTATAACCCTCTTGACATTATCAGTGCAACGTGGCTGGTTGTGTGGGGGAATTGCACCACCCCATTGCATGAAATAGAGTCCACGTGCCAAGGATTTTGTGCAGAATGCCCTAACTTGCACTCTTGAGAGTCAGTGGAATGACAACTTCCAGAATTTCTAGCCAGCATGGGATTGCAGATACGTGGGGATGTCATAAAATTGGAATATAAAAAACCTCTTGCCATAGGTTGAGGCCAAGTTGGTTTCCCTTGGTTTGCCACTACAATCTTTTTGAAATCTCGGCTTGCTGTGACTTTCCATCAAAGAGGAACTGGGCTATGGTTCCACAATTTTCATACCTGACCTTTAGTCTGTTTAGATTTTGATGAACTTATTGGATATCAAAGTTCTCGTAACTGCCTTAGAAGGCCGTGGTTGTTCAAGTTGGATTTCTGTCTTTCAGTCTCATTTTGCAGATAATATTTCTGGATGTAATTCTTCTTCCCTCTAAATCGCTGTTAAATAGGGCATAGAGCAAGTCTTGGATGTTCTCCGATTTTCATATTTAGAATACGGATCCACCAGTGTTGTAGCTGTCTGTTGAAAGAGGGGTGTCTTTATGGATTTGCTTTGTTCTGATGAAGAACGTTCAATTAAAAATGAGGCTTCCCTTCACATTTCATGCTGCTCCTTTACAGATGCCTAGGCTTGATTAACCAAGCCAGTTCCATCGCCAAGCTTGGCTGGTTAATCTTAGTTAGGGCTTTGATGGCTTAATCGTGCAAGTAAACCCAATTCTTTTGGTTAGCTTAACAATCGTATTGTGGGATCCCAGAAAATTGGTTAGTTGGGCAACCAAGTGAACTTGGTTAAGAGGTGGGAGAGGACTCCTCTGAGCTTGAAGAAGAAGATTTATTCCCAAAGAGGTGATTGTCCCACATTGCTTGAAGGCCTCCTGGGAAGAGGAGCAGAACATCAGTTCCAGCTGTCGAGTGGCTCTTGCAGAACAACATTGACCTTCCTTCACTGTTTCTCATCCTACAATTGGGGCAGTAGAAAATGGTGCTCCCCTTTTTATAAGTCTGCATAGGATTTTATTTCTCCCTCCCCCCAACTCCTGAGCAAAAAGTGGGTGTTGGGCCATTTCTTGTCCCAGTGAGATGTTCTCCTGGAGTGGACTTCGTTGCTGTGTTGCAAACGTGGACCTCTAACTTGGTTCCAGGGGGTTCTAGCGTGCCCGCAGGATGGGGCCCTGGCAACATGGCATTCCCCAGATCAGTAGCAACGAGGCTGGATGGGTTCCCCTCCTCTGGGGCGCAGCAATGGTTTTCAGGCCTGCTTTGCAATGAAGCCAGAATCTGGTGCCCAGGTAGAAAAACCCCCCACTAAATGATATTCAGAAAGACTAAGAAGGGCAAAAGGAGCCATAGATGCACGAATAGGGTAGAGTGGTATGTTTCTATTCTTGGTCATGAATTTATTCTTGGGTAGGTTTCTCCACTGGGAAGGGCCAGGGGAGTTGGAGAAGTTTGGGCGTGAGGCAGTAAGAAAGAAAAGGCAATTAAGGCTTTATTAAAAGACTTGCTGAAAGAAGAAAAGACAACATGATTTATGGCAGAGTTTGTCAGTCAGCCCCTTTAAGATGGGTGGACTTCAACTCCCAGGATTCCCTAGCCAGCTGTGCTGGCTGGAGAATTCTGAGAGTTGAAGTCTACCCATCTTAAAGGGGCTGACATTGACAAACACTGATTTGGGGATTTTAAAGGGTTAAAAAGGGAAAAGAGATGGCACTTGATAGAAGAGCGGAAATCAAAATGCTGTTTTTTAAAAAAACTTTCTAATTTTTTTTTATATTTCAATTGTAAAGTTCTTTCAAATGAGAAAAAAGACGTCAAGAAAGGAGGATTAGATTCGGGAGAGTTTGAGGTCTGTGGGTCGCTCTACAGTTTTCCTAGCTCTACGCGACCAAGAACGGGCGGGGCGGGCCAGGAGCGCCTGGGATGGCCCCGCGCTTGCGCAGGAGGGCCGCCCCGGCCCGCTGGGGCGGTCACGTGGGGGGGTGTTCTAGAACGCCGCTGCGTCACAGCGGGGCTCAAGGAGATTCCGGGCGTCTCTCTGGCGGAGCGGAGCCGGTGCAACCGCAGCGTCCGAGGCCACCATGCCCAGGGGCGGCCGCAGCGTGGGGTCCCGCCCGACTGCGACCAGGTACGCGGGGGAGCGTGACCCCCTTCCCGCCCAGCTCTCCGGGTCACCTTCCGAGAAGGGCACGAGCCCTGCTCCTGGCCGGGGGCCGCCCTGCTGCCCCGGGCAGGAGCCCAACGACTTCTCTTCAAAGCCGGAGGGGAGGAAGAGCGTTCTGTGCATGCTCAGGAGCCCTGTCTTTGGCGGCACGGGGGTGGCTTGTATTTCAAAGGCGCGGGTGGATTTTCAGCCAGCCTCAAAGCCGTTGGGGTTCTCCCTGTCTCCTGGGTGGGAGTCTCAGTGATCCTTCCCTGCGAGGAAGAGAGGCGGGGGACACTCTGTGCATGCTCAGGAGTACTGCTTCCTGGGTTATAGCTGGCTTTATTAGGACGGTAAGGCCATACAGACCGCACTTGGAGTAAAGTGGGGAAAACAGGCAGGCAGTTGACCAAATACTTTAAAAGAGTGGGATAAAAATTTAATGATAATATTAATGGCGCTGGTTCTCCTTCTTTCCTTGGGAGGGCCCTGGTGGTTTTTTTTTCCCCCAAAGGGAGAGCAAAAGAAAAACAGTTTATGCCTGTTCAGGAGCACTGAGGTTTGGATCATAACTTACTTGGTTAATGCATGTTATAGGTCCTCCCTCCCCCCCCCCCCCCCGTTTCGGGACTCAATTGCTATAAAGTTCTCTTCTTTCTCCCCCTTGCCCCAAATAAACCTCACGTTGGTCTCCCTGCAAAAGCCTCTTCTGCACATTCCTGCTCTGCATGGCTGACATCTCCAGGTCCTTGTTTCTTGATTTGATATGATCCCAGCCTGCATTTTTACAGGGCTCAGCCTGCTCCCCCTTCCTCTTTTTCTCCACAACAACCATCTTGTGAGGTAGGTGGGGCCGAGAAGGAGAGCTTCTGGGGCTGAGGGGGGCGTTGAGCGTGGTAAAGAAGTGGGCTTTGAGTAAAATAAGGTGGCAAAAATAAGGCTCCATGAAGCATCCGAGCAGACGGATGAGTGTTCAGCCGTTAGCCTTGCTGAAACCTTTGGCCTGCGTGTGTCACGCTCTCTTTCGTTGTGGGAAGGAAAGGACACGCCTCACCACGGGCAGCCAAAGATCTGAGAGAGGAATGTCGATTGCCAAATCTCAGATGGAAACTTATGCCCCAGTTGAATTCTTGCCCGTTTGCTGGGTGACCAAGATGAGGCACCTCAAGGTGACCCTTTGGGTGGCTCTGTTGGGTAGAATGTCCTTTGTGCAGGAGGTTTGGAACAGGAGGGGAACCCTGGTCCTGGGTGGGTGACAAGTCCATATAAGAGGAGATGTGTTAATCCACCCTTGCTTGGTTCTGGAGGATTCAGCCAAACAGGAGTCTGGAGGAGAGGCCAGATGAGAAACTGTCCATATGCTGTCCAACCAAGAACCACGGTGGGGTCGCGGGGAAGATGCTGGGCCAAGCAGACCCAGGTTCTAGTCTGCTCAGCCATGGAGACCCCCTGGGGGACTTTAGGCCAGCTTCCCTCTCTCAGCTCAACCTACCTCACCAGGCTGTTGTTGTGGGGAAAAAGTGGGCCAAAAGAGCACTCCACACGCTGCCTGGAGCTCCTGAATGGAAGGCAGGAGAGAAATCCAAATAAATAAAGCTGGTGTAGAAAACAACTCAACGTAGCCCCTGATGAAGAGAAACCCACAGAAAAGGAGCAAAATGTAGGGCGTGGGATGTCCCTCCACAAGTCCTGATTATCCCTGGCTGGATGGGGATAATGGGCTGTGTAGTCCAGCCCATCTCACGGATTCTCCTTCACTTCGGATGGGAGATAAGAGCTGATGGATGTTCTACCACATGGTTCCAGCGCTTCTCCTTCCAACAAAGGGGACAGAAACTCACCTCCTCCTTTTTTGCATCTGTCTCAGCAGTTCAACAGCTTCTCATGCTCACCCTCCCGCTCCTGCTCCTCCTTCCTCCATGGCTACGCCAGCCCAGCCTCAGCAGCCGGGCTTGATGGCCCAGATGGCAACCACAGCAGCGGGTGTGGCTGTTGGCTCCGCCGTGGGCCATGTGGTTGGCAGTGCGCTCACGGGGGCATTCAGTGGCGACAGCAGCTCCTCCGAGCCGGCGAAAGCAGCTAGTAGCCCTGCCCAGGTGAGGCTCCAATAAATGAACCCGAGGCTGGGTCCCCAGAACACCTGTAACCAAGTCCGGTCCAGACCTGGCGGTTGTCTTGAGTAGCGTTCATGAAGTCTGCTTCGGGGGATCATCCCAAAGTGGAAGTTGTAGGAAAGGTGGATATGGGTACTCCTTCACTTAATAGAGAGCTGGTTTGGTATAGTAGTGGGAGTGCTGGACTAGAAGTGGGGAGTCCCATGTTCTTGTCCCCCCTCAACCACAGAAGCTCCCTGGGGGGGGTTGAGCCAGTCCCTCCTGCTCAGCCCAAAAGCCAGGGTGGTGGAGTAGTGGAGTGGAGAACCACCAGATCTTTCACAATTTCCTAAATGACATAAAGGTGGGAACACGAATCCTGGTGGGAACTCATGGAACAGATGGAAGGAGTGTCGACATCATAGGCACTTAACTACCCAGCAGTGAGATTTTTCCCTCCTGGATTATCCTGACATGAGCCGTGCAGACCCAGAGAAACCAGGATTCAGCAAATGGCAGCTTCACATATCCCAGTCCAGACACTAAAATAAGCTTTTCAGCTCCTTCCTGCTGCTCTTGCTGGAGCTATGACTTTGTGGAAAAGCTACAGGGACTTCCAGGAAGCACCATGTTACTGGTTTCATCCTTATTGGGAATCTTCAGATGTGGGTAGCCAGATGTTATTCTGTGGGGTTCAAACCCTCGACTGAGAATTGGGCTCACAGATCTTTGCACTTTGGATGTCTGTCTACACTGCTTTAGCTGTATCTAGATCTTGGTGCTCAGCTGTTGCAGGAAGAATGGATGTCTGGAGGTCACACATTTCCAGACATGGAGATTAGGTAGCAGGCGATGAGAAGACTTTGGTCTGAAACTCTGAGTGGTTAATATTGAGAAGGATGGACCTTTTCCATCCAGGTCTTTTCAGATATTTTGGACCACAACGTCTACTGTCCTAACCCTGGGCTATGTTGGTGGGACTTACAAGAATCTGAAAGGGTAGTTAAATTCAGTGCATGGCTTATCTGATACAAGTCAGCTTTTTTATTACTGTACCACACTATCTGCACTTAACCTAGGAGATTGAATGTCTGTCTTCTATCATCTCTAGGATTCCAGGCAGATGCCAGTCCATCAGCAGCCTCAGTATGGACCTTGCTTGTATGAGATGAGGCAGTTCCTGGAGTGTGCTACTAACCAGAATGACTTGACCTTGTGTGAGGGCTTTAATGAGGCCCTGAAGCAATGCAAGCAAGCCAACAGTGAGTATTGCCAATGCAAACAAGCCAATGGTGGGGGGAGAAAGGAAGCCTCTTGGTGGGTCTGGTTGCATCACGTTTTAGGAAGAGGCATTGGTGAGCTGCAACTGAACTTCATCAGATACCTGGAGGAGCTTGACTGATGGGGGACTTCAATTGGAAAGAGGCTGGGCGTGGGAAGAAGTCAGGGGGGTTATGCACCTGCAAATTACATTTGAGACAGATCGCAAGTCCGTTATCCACTGACAGCTGTAATTGGTGATAAACCCATTGTGTTTCTGGAGACCTTCTAAGGTAGCCTGGAACCCTTAAATGAATGTGAGTTGAGCAATGGACCTGCTGTGGAGGTTGAAATACTCTGAGTATGTGATCCTTGTTTTGAGTCCTGATATCAAACATGGGTCCATGCATTCTTAAGCTCAAAGTCTGGCCAGCGTAGAATCCAAAGAGGCGTTGCTGGCAGATCATGTTAGAGGAAGAGCGCGTGAAGGCACCTCTAATCTTGTCTGTGTCCATCTGGGGGCCTGTGATGGTTGTGCTGTTGGTGTAAATGTGGGAGACCTCCTTGCTTTATGAAACATCTTCAAGGGAGGGCTATTTGTGAATCTTCCAAGCCAAGCACTCTTCCATAGATCAGCAGTTTTAGGGCTGAGCTATGTACCAGGAATTCCATGTATATCTCAGGTAAGTTGCCTTCTTAGCCTCTATTCTCCCCCCACCTGGTGCTTGCAAAGCAATAATACATTAGATGTTCATCACCGACCAGGTCTTTAATTGTCCTCCTTCCTTCCCCCTCTTCCAGTTTCCCAAACAAAGACCTGAAACGTGAGAACTCTGCTTTACAGGGCAGAGAATCCATACACCTGATGTGTCCATCCTTCTGTGTAATTCAGTGCCCTTTTCAGCCAGTATGTCTCCATTGCTTTTATGAAAAGGTCTTGCACATTGAACCCAACTTGTCATCTCTTTCTTTTGCAGGTGTGACTTCCCTCTTGTGAAAAAATGAGAAAGGTCAATTCTGAGCAAGGAAAATAACAGAGGACCTGGATGTGGAAAAAACTGAACCTAAGAGGGACCCTGACTGGGAGAGAAAGGCAGAGAATCTGATCAGCTCAATCAGTTTTTCTCAGTTGTAGATTTATAAGCAAGGAGAGGTTTGAAATGCAAGGATAAATGGATTTTTGTACAGAGGAGAGTCAAATAAAAGCAGATGGTTTATTTAAAATTAGTTCCTGAGTACATGATTTTGTTTGCTTCAGTCCATACATATCTGGCCAACATGTAACGATTCTTTAAAAGGGATTATATATAACTAGCCAGCTGAGTTGATCTGGTAACTGACAGAGTGTGGAGAAGATTTCTGGAGGACACATCGAGTGGACTTTTCCCCAACCTGGTGTCCTTTGGGCAAGGTGGATTACAATGCTCATAATTCCATCTGAAGGGGTCATGCTGTTTAGAAAGGAAGAGGATTATGGTCCAGCGCCTCTGGAGGACATTAGCTTGGGCAAGGTGGATTCGACGTGGCTGCTTCCTAAGATTTTGGTAGACATGTTGGGTTAGTGAATTCCATTCCAAATCACTGCACTGCATACAAGCGAGCCATATGATGGCTTAGCGTGAGCTGTCAATCCAGCTGAGAACACCCTGGCATTCTCCTCCAATTTTGCAAGATTTGGGAATTGAAGATGGTGGGCTTAAGATCTCAGTAACCAAGAGTGGACAGTAATGGAGCTTAGAGAGGACTGATCCACTTTGGCACGTGGGTTGGAGCAGTGTTTCTCAGCCTTGGCAACTTGAAGATGGGTGGACTTCAACTCCCAGAATTCCCCAGCCACGAAAATAAAATCAGGATGGATTTGCAGTGAAAAGAAATAGTTTCTCTTGAAGGCTAGTTTAGAAGGGTAGCAGATTAGATTAGAGGAGGAGCAGTACTAGAATTCGGCAGATGTTAACTCTCAAGATCCTAATAAGGTCAAATGGAAATTTTATACATGGTCCAAGACCAAGCCCAATAAAAAATCAGCATGCAATACAGTAACTATAAAGGAAAAAAAAATTAAATGGTAACATTCTAAAGACGTGTTTTCAGCTTTAACTACTTTAAGATATGTGGACTTCAACTCCCAGAACTCCCATGGCTGGCTGGGGAATTCTGGGAGTTGAAGTCCACCCATCTTAAAGTTGCCAAGGTTGAGAAACACTGGGTTGGAGGTTCTCAAGTCCTCCAATAGATATTTTCTGTTGTGGAAGAGAATGGTGATTGTCGATGTGACCAGGAGGAACAAACAGATTGGTAAATGCTGAACTCTTTCAGATGTGGCAGGTGACCGTGGGGGTGGAAAATAGATGTTCAGCTTAATTGCATGAGCCTTGCTTGTCTTAATTTAGACCTTAGCTTGTTACATAAAGCACTCAAGGTCATTCGTGTCAGGTTAAGTCTGCCGATGCTGACGTGGACCTTGGAGATTAAGTTACATTTGCAGCCTGCCAAAGGTGATGCAACCAGCTAGATGACAGTGCTTGAAAAAAGGCTTCCTGGTTTAACACACTGTGCCTCTCTCCATTCCCCAGATTAGGGTTTGTAAGTGGTTATTTGGATAATTCAAAGAACCAGAAGTGCAGGGAAGCAATGCAATTTTGGGAAGGGTGCCGAAACCTGTAGAAGATCCTTGATGGAAAGGGAAACATCTTCCTACTCTTGATGATCAACACAATTTATGTTTGCCTCCCTCTTTAATGCGCAAACATTTTGGAGGCTTTCATGTTCAGACTTAACGTGTGTCACTTCAGGTATTTAAACATTTTTGTGAGAAAGGGGGATGCTGGGAATTGCATGTTACTTTGAAGGTTGAAGGGATCTGGGCACAACGGGATCGCCTTTCACTGTTTTTCCTATACAGTATCACCTTTGCTAGTGTTTTTTACTGATTTGGGAAGTGATCATTATTTGCAAATACCCCAAGGGCTGAAGGTCTTTGGCACCCTCCCTTTGTCCAATCGATAAAAGTTCTTCAATTGCAATACACTCCAAGATCACCATCTGGTCTATAATTGGTTGCATTTAAATGTGCCCCACGCTTGACATCAAATCAGCATTTTTATTAGAGATTGACACCAATCTCTTGCAAGGCTGATTGAATATGACCCTGCTTGCATCAACTTTCCTGCCTCTGGGGCTTCTGATAAGCAAGGGCTTGGGATAATATTCTTTTTTTGCCAAAACTGCAAGCTTCCGCTGCAAATTATTCCCCTTGATTTGTGGGTTACAGCTATTGGATGCTATTATGAGGGACAGCGGGATAGATACAGGTTAAATTAATTGCACTTGGATCTTCTTGAAATGGGCAGGGTTTAAGCCATGATTAGTTGGTCCCATTATATTATCCTATACAATATTCCCCCATTGAGTCTGCAATACCCAAGTGAACCACGAGGGGGCGGTTTGTCCTAGAATATAGGAAATTGGCCAAGACAAGATTAAGACACAATCTTAATGGTGTTGCTTTACTACTATTTGATTCCAGGTAAATCCTCTCATCTAAAATGAAAGTGAAAGTAAGAAATGGATTTACAAAACCACCTATACATTTCTAAGAACTACTCGCAGTTACATACTATTTAGCATATTCCAACTCGATCAATAAAAGAACAGGATATTCTTCTGCAGAGCTTTTCAGCTCCTCTCTGTCGCTATTGCTGGAGCTGTGACTTTGTGGAAGAATATATATTTTGCACAGAAATGGTTCCAACTCCAAGTTCCAAGTCCTTCTCGTCTTTCTTGTCCTACCTAAGGGCAAGAAGCAATGGGTGGAAGCTCGTCAGAGGGAGATCCAACCTAGAAATAAGGAGGAATTGCCTGACAGGGAGAGCTATTCAGCAGTGGAACAGCTGGCCTCCTGGAGTTGTGGGTGCTCCATCGCTGGAGGTTTTCAAGAAAAGATTGGACAGCTGTTTCTCCAAGATGGTGTGAGGACTCCTGCCTTGGGCAGGAGGTTGGACTAGAAGACCTACAAGGTCCCTTCCAACCCTATGATTCTATGATTCTATGACTGATTCTATGATTCAATGATTCTGTGTCTCTATGATTCTATGTCTCAATGATTCTATGATTCTATGATTATGATTTTATGATTCTATGACTGATTCTATGATAGTCATAGTCTATGACTATTTCTATGGCTGATTCTATGATTCTGTATCTCTATGATTCTATGTCTCAATGATTCTATGGCTATGATTCTATGCTTCTATATTTCTATGACTGATTCTATGATTCTATGATTCTGTGTCTCTATGATTCTATGACTGATTCTATGATTCTATGATTCTGTGTCTCTATGATTCTATGACTGATTCTATGATTCTATGATTCTGTGTCTCTATGATTCTATGACTGATTCTATGATTCTATGATTCTGTGTCTCTATGATTCTATGACTGATTCTATGATTCTATGATTCTGTGTCTCTATGATTCTATGACTGATTCTATGATTCTATGATTCTGTGTCTCTATGATTCTATGACTGATTCTATGATTCTATGATTCTGTGTCTCTATGATTCTATGACTGATTCTATGATTCTATGATTCTGTGTCTCTATGATTCTATGACTGATTCTATGATTCTATGATTCTGTGTCTCTATGATTCTATGTCTCAATGATTCTATGATTCTATATTATGATTTTATGATTCTATGACTATGATTCTATGATAGTCATAGTCTATGACTATTTCTATGGCTGATTCTATGATTCTGTGTCTCTATGATTCCATGTCTCAATGATTCTATGGCTATGATTCTATGATTCTATATTTCTATGACTGATTCTATGATTCTGTGTCTCTATGATTCTATGTCTCTATGAGTCTATGATTCTGTGATTCTAGGCCTGGAGATGCGGTAGCAGGTCATGGGGAGATTTCTGCCTGCAAACTCAGAAGGATGCTCTTAAATTTCCAGAGCACCGGGTACAACGGCATCTCACTGTTTCTGCCTTACCACCAGTGGTGTGCTGGTAAGTGTTTAACAAGAGGGGGGCACTAGCTGTAGTAGCTCGACTCTATTTTCAGCCAGCTCGCAAAATTCCAGAAAAGTTAACAACGGGTTCTCGTGAGCCAGTATGAGCTGGCTGTAGCACACCACTGGTTGCCACCCTTACTAATGTTTTCCTACGGTTTGGAAACGTGATTGTTATATGCCAACCCCCCAGGGGTTGGAGTTCATTTGCATTCTGCTTTGGTCTGGTCTATAAATTGTTGTATTTAAATGTGCCCCATGATTGCCATCAAATCAGCATTTTTATTAGAGATCAATGCCAATCCCTTGCAAGACTGATTTTTAACATGACCTTGCTAGGATCAGCTTTCTTGCCTCTGGGGCTCCTGATAGCAAGTGGCTGGGGTAATATTCTTTTTTTGCCAAAACTGCAAATTATTCCCCTTGATTTGTGGGTTACAGTTATTGGATGATGTCATGAGGGAGAGTGCGATAGATGCAGGTTAAATTAATTGCACTTGGATCTTCTTGAAATGGGCAGGGTTTAAGCCACGATCAGTTGGTCCCCCTACAGATTGATGGATGGACAGAACCCATTCATGCAGATGATGCTTTGGGAAGAATAGACCTGGCGAGGGACTTACAGCATAAAGAAGACCCAAGCTAAAGAAAGGCCAGGAAGGGGAATGGAAACGTGGTGGGTGGGGGAGAGGAGCTGTCTGCCCTTCAAGGTAGGCCAGGTCAGGAAACAAAATCCATGAATTTGACGAGCACTCAACTTTATTGATGTAGGTCAGTGTTTCTCAACCTCGGCCACTTTAAGCTGTGTGGACTTCAACATGCTGGCTGGGGAATTCTGGGAGTTGACGTCCACACAGCTTAAAGCAGCCAAGGTTGAGAAATACTGATCTAGGCTAACAAAATCTTGAAAGCTTAATGGAGGTTTCTCTTCCTTGGGAGTTAGGGTGAACCCAGTCTGTGCTTCTTCTTAACGCTTCCCTTGTTTCCAGGGCTTCAAGCACATTTTGGTTCGTGCAGACCGTCTCCAAGGTCATCTCTATGGCTCTCTATAAGAGCAAATAGCACAATTGTTTCCAGTTTCTAGGGTTGGCTCAGCTGTAATCGTAAGTTATATGGCGCTGGAGTATGATCCAAATGCTTCCCAGGAAAAGTGAGTTTTGGGGAGGAACTGAAGGTAGGAGGTTCCACGGACGTGTTTGGAGTGGCAATTTAGGCATAACAGGCAATGAGAAAAAATTGAGGGAGTTGTAGTTGTTATCCCAACAGGACCAACGTGCAACTTGCTGTCTCTATCGCTTGCTTAACCACGTTTCAAAGGATGGAGTCAAGGACTCCAAATCCTCAGCATCATCTGAAGAACCTGTTGCAGAAAGAAACAGCCTGGGCTAATCTGTGTGGTGTGCTTGTTGTGTTCCAACCACAGGAGATACAACAACCTCACTCATCCAGCCTGTCTCCGTCTCAGCATTCCTGGGAAATGCTGCTCAGATCTCTTGCACCATTTCCAACGGCAACATGACAACTTCCATCATATCCTGGATTCAGCATAAACACCCAAACACTCCAAAATATCTTTTGTATTATAAAAATAAGTCCATTCAAAGAATAAAAACTGGTGTCTCAGAAAGATTTGCTGCTTTCAAAGATGTCACCCTTAACACCTGTTATCTAACCATCTCTGGAGTCCAAGCAGTGGATGAAGGCACTTATTATTGCCTGACTTCAACAGGGCCAGAATAGCACTGTGCTACACTTTATGGATTAATGAGAATAAAACCCTACTTCTACCCCATGGGGAATTCATACTCAACAACTGGTAAGAGGCAGCAAGCTGGCTGATGGATTCAGCTTAAGGTTTGAAGATGTTCTCCAGCTTTGATCCATAATGCATTTAATTTGGGAGGCCCAGTTAGAAGAACTTTTGATGCATATTTGTGGCTGGACAACAAATTTGCATTACAAATCCTCCTCCTTCATCTGTGGCTGGATTCAATGTTCTTACTGTAACAGGTGGAACTGTTGGGCTGGATCCAAACTAGGGTAATTGCACATGGTTCCTGTTGAAATGCACAGGGTTTGGGTGAAAGATTAGCGATCAGTTGGTTGAGTCTGCCAATCTACAGAGCACTTTCAAAAGAGTAGATTTAGCAGGCCGTTCCCCAGGGGCCTTACAGTGTAAAGCAGACCTAGGGATCCAAGAACAGATGGAGAAAATGGTTATAGGAGCAAGAAAGAGAAAGTTATACAACCACTTTCAATGTTAGCATCCAAAGGTATCTGCAAAGATCTCAGCCTACTTCAGACAATGGGAAACTATTTGTGTGTGATGGTGCCTCTATATTACCATACTTCTTATTTGTGGTTAACTGTCATTCAGACCCAAGGAAACCACAGACAGATATTTTTGCTGCACCTGTCACCTCTTCCCCAGGGAGGAAACCTTTGTTGATCTGAACATCTGTTTGATTCATTCAGCCTCACCCACCTCAAGCAAAGAAAGTCACTGGAAAGGCTTGCCACCAGGAGGAGCTCTGAGATCAAGAAATAGATCCTGGATATTCAGAAGGAGAAGGAGGGTCACTTGCTGGATCCAAAGTTAGGTTCCTGAGCTTTGGGAAGATCTGAAGGAACTGGTTGTCCATTGTCCTCTTTTCGTGCTGGGGTAAGGGGTGTCTGCTGCATGGAGCTATAACATGTTCAAGAATCCAAGTGGGCTTTTGGCTGCCTTTTATACTAGCAGCACAGGGGATCCCAACAGGATTGGCATGAACATCTGGAATTCTTGTCTCTTTTCAACTCCTGTTGAACTTAGGCTTCCACAATTTCTTGTGTTTCTGGCTGTGCTTTTTCAGTGCAGTTTGTCAGACTTAAGGTTATCTTTTTAAAAAGTTGAATGACAAATACTTATTCTGATGCACAGGTCTTCTCCAGACATATTCCTCTTTATGGGAAGTTGTACCGATTTTTTGCAGACCATTATCCTTATTACAATGTACATGTTTTCATGGGAATATATGCATTTGGGATCCCATTTGTTACCTCATGCACATTTTTAAATTCCTGGACGCATTGCAAAAATGGGAGCACTCTGAATGTCATATGGAAATTAAGTTTCAATGCAAGATTTGGTGTGACAAAGTATTTTTGTCACTGATTTTCAAAAAACAGGGCCTTTGGTTCCCTAAACAATTTGAATTCAAGTTGGAGGGCTGTTGTGTATTCCTCCACAAAGTGTTCCATTATAAGAGGAGAACTACATTAGTCTATAGCAGGCAAAATTCAGAAATCTGGCTAACTCTTCCATTGCACCCGAGGAAGTGAGCTGGAAGTCACAAAAGCTTATGCCTTTAATAAAAAGTGTTAGTCTGAAAAGATGCTTTCACTCCTTTGAATATTTGCCAGTCTAATCCCAGCACGTTAAGGAAATTTGCAGGCAGGTTGAAAGGCAATGATATTTCATTTTAAATTCCAGACTTGGGAGAACTTTAGAACAGCTCACTTCAGTGATGGGGGAAAGATCTAATAGTGTTGAAAAGCAATCTTGAACATTCAAGATTGAGGAACAAGAAGGAAGAAAATATGGAGGTAGGCTTGTCCTTTCTACAGCTCAAGATGGCCATGGGTAGTGAGAAGAGGGTTTTCTTCTTAAAGTTAGAATAGCATAAAAATAATCAAATTAACAGAGAAAAGATCAAGGATTTTATCATTTCCATAACAAATGAAACTTGGAGGGAGGGTGTTCTTCTCCTGCACTTTGCACAATCGGGAGATTTTTAGATCCAACCCCTCCTCCTAACAACAGAGACCAGAGGTGGCTCTTCAACTCCTCATGTACAATTCCAATAAAAGTCTCTGTGATTCCCAACCATTTCTTCAGAGATCTGTACAGTAATACAATAAAGCTCATGATACCCTCCATCTCTAGCTGACGATGAAAGAAATTAATACTGTAGGGTGTTGCACAATAACCTGTTACACTAGAATGCAGGCAGGTGTAGAGTTGAAGCTGAAACTCAGATCTGTTAAGAAGGAAAGGGGGGAGAGAGAAACAGCTGATGTATCTCTAAGTTGTCAACGGGAAAAAAATAAGTTAAATGCATTTAAATGATGTTTGGAAATCAAACGGCCTAGTGGAGATCTGGGGGAAACCTGTCCATTTTCTGCCCCATCTGAAAGGGTGGGAAGGATAATTTCAATGTTAATACATGAATCTACCAGCAGGTTGGCTCTTCCCTTTCTCTCAGATCAAGATAAATTTCCCCATCATTGTGCCTACTTCAGGATCTGTTGGGATGTGGAGAAAAAGAGGTGCATGTACAATGAATATTTCGGTTTTAACATTCGTCATTCTTAAAAAAAAAATGTGAAAAGGGAATGTACTGCAAAGGGAGGACCTTGTAAAGATGAATGTGAAGTTCAGGTCAGCTGGAGAAGAGAAGCATGGGTTGGATGATCCCCCCAAGGAATTAAGGAAGATGAAGTTGGGTTCTCCAAATAAGTTAAGGAGAATGCTACCAGGGACAAGAGAGGGACAGGAATGGTGTCATCTGGAAGTGTGTGGATCATCTGTGAAGCCACTTGGTTGCTGTGATGGAAGACATGAGCGAGGAGGTCCAAGGTCATAGGGCGGGGGAGAGGAATCCCAAGCGTCTCCTCAGCCCTCAACCAGAGCATGTGAAAGTGAAGAGAAGGAGACGGGCACCACCCTAAGGAATTCAGAGCATTTAGTTGCTGTCATCGGGGATTAGAGTGAGTCTGGCGAGATTCTGTCTAGTAGGTGTAAGCTAATAAAATAACTGACCTGTTCCTGAATTGTCCTGCTGAGTTTCTTGGGCTGAACCTGACATCAGTCTCGCCAGACTCACTCTAACCCCTGATGACAGCAGCTAAACACTCTGAATTTCTTAGGGTGGGGCCCATCTCCTTCTCTTCACTTTCACACGCTCTGGTTGAGGGCTGCTTGGGATTCCTCTCCCCTGCCTTATGACCTTGGACCTCCTCGCTCATGTCTTCCATCACAGTTACTTTCAAATCATCAGTTCAGTCTGATCATTTGAATCGTTTTGGGAATCCGGTTTGATGCTCAGTTTAAAGTATTGTATGAGATTGATTCGGTTTCCCAAACCTTTTGGAAGATCTGGGTGCATCTTCCTAGTTATCCAGTCAGTTTTGAACACATTGCTGTGATGCAGATCAATCCCGTCTGCCATTAGGAGACTTAATGGAATGTGTTTGAGCTGAAGATCCCAAGTGCAATGTTACTCACCTCTAGTAGCAAACCTGTGCAGGAAGCAATGTGAGGAGAATACAACTAAAGCCTCAGTAGGAGTTAATTAAGGAACGAGGGTGACTTTTTAAAGCAAGAGCAAAATGAGAGGAGTCCCTGCTTATGAGAAAGAAAACTCAGGGTCCATAATAGTAGTTCTATGCCAAGAATATAATTTCTAAAGCTATTTCTTTCACTGTGCTGGCCAAAAAAAAACCCCCCTCATTAAAAAACAAAACCTTTGAGCAAAGTATTTATCCCCAGAGATTCAGCTCCAGGAAGGAAGTGCGGATTTGCATATAGGACAACTTTCCTAGCCCTCCCAAGAATTTAAATGAGAAGAATGGGAGAACTCTGCTCAGCTGCTCTCATTTCAGTTCATCACTATGGCTCTGAACGGCTATGGAGTCATCATTGTCTTAGTGTCTTGCTTTGGTGAGCATTGGGGGGGCTTCAGTTGAGTTCTCACTTGTAGAGGCACATTAAAAAAAAATCTGAGTTCTTTTGGTCATGGTTTTTGCTGTTGGGAAAATAAAAGGAGGAGCCCTTATCTATACTGTTTTGAGTTGTAAAAATTAAAGGCAGGATATCAATCTAATACATAAATAAAATCTTAGAACTGAAGACAGGGTGGTTGAAGAATGCCTCTGGTATTTTCAATAGGAGGAACTTATGTTTTTGCTTTATTCAAACTCTCTAAGCTTTCAACCATGGTCTTGGACCAGCATTTCTTCTAACTGGCTTATTCTAGCAGTGAGAAAAGTTGACAGGTTTGATTGGAATGGGGCCCCCTTTGAAATGTAGTTGCTTTTTCATGATTTTGCAAAGAATATCACATTCTCTCAGAAAAATGTTAACAGAGAGGAAGAAGATGGACACATTGCTTTCTTCTTCCCCTTCCTCTCCTCCTCCTCCTCCTCATCCAACAACAACAATTATTATCTTCCATCTACAGTAACACAGGATTTATCTGTAGTCTTGTAAGATGGGAGGGTGACTTAATCTCATTTTTCACAGGTTTCATCTCCCAGGCTCTGGTGACTCAAAGTGGTCCTGTTTCAGTGGCTGTTGGACAAACAGCCACCATCACCTGTACTCTACAAGGAGTGGAGTTTATCAGCCCTACTAACCCATCCTGGTATCAGCAGAAAGGAGGACAGTCTCCAAGGTTGCTCATCTACAAGTCCAGGGAAAGAGCTTCCGGGATCCCTCAACGTTTTTCTGCAGACACCTATGACAACAATGCAAAGTTGACCATTTCAAGCGTTGAGGGTGCTGATGAAGGGGATTATTTCTGTGCCATGTGGCATAATGATGGGCTACACACTGTTGCCTTCAGATGCAGACCTGAAACAAGAGGTTTCTGGGCCTGAAACAGAAAGTGGATGGGAGTAAACCCACATTCTGCTTCTATCCTTCTGAATGTCACATATAGGGTATTTCCTGCATTTGGCAGAACCCTTTCACTGTGGAAGAGGAGCATTCCAGATCCTGTCATCAGTTCTGTGGTGCCCTGGGGAGTGGAAGGGGGATATTCCTCTGCTCTTCTGGAATCCCTGAGCCATTTTCTGGTTCTGTGGACTCTTCCTCCAATTCGGCCACCTTGTCCATCTCCAACATTCAAGCAGAAGACGAGGTTGATGATTCCTGTTCATCTCATGATGGCAGTGGGCCGAGCACAGTGATTCAACCCAATGGAGGACTGAGACCAAAACTTTCTCATCACTGTTGACAAGCTCCACTTTTTATCACTTGCAGATGGCTGACAATAGGAGTCACTATAGACAGCAATTTTCAGTAAAAAAACAACAACCAAGGTCTTGCGATAGAAAGTGAATTGAATCAACTATGGAAAAAATGAAGTGAGGATTGAAAGCCCCGGCCCTGCTCATTTTCTGTTATTTCTTAGTGTTTGATCCATGATTTCATTCCATAACAGTTCTCCTCCCCAAACATTTATTCAGGGGTGACCTAATCACCAGTCAGACCTTCCTGCCTCCTTTCCCACCAGTTCTGGCCTCTATGGCTGTGCAGTTAGCAGAAGAAGGAGAGACGTTTCCATAAATTGTGACCTTCCCATCACCATCAACCCAATGATTCCTTTTAGGTGGACCATGGTAGCCATGATCTACTCTAGTTACACCACATTCGCCTCATAGGAATGTTCCCTGTCCTACAATTGGCGTTTCCCCTTGATAGCAATCAACCCTTCTTCTCCCATGGAGACTATGCGACATCTCTCTCCTCCCCTCCACCAACTCGGATTCCACCTCTTTTGCAGTATTGCTCAAGCGGCCAGTGCAGGATTGCAGTCCTTTGCATGTGAACATGGGGAGAAACGCCTGCAGAAGTCCACTTGGGTTGGGATTGTGCTGAACTGGGGAAAGATGCAGTCTGTTGAGGGCCACCAATAGGCTTTTCTTGAAATGGGAGAGCTCTGTCAAACAGCCAGTAGACGGGAGACAACACATCGATTCAGGTCACTTAATGGGTGTGACCGCATGATGAATCTACTTTGGTGTGGGCTTGTGGGGAGGGGTTGGTGCTTTGCATGGGACCTGTACCTTTGCTTTTCGCACATTGTACACTCACCTAGAAACAGGTCGCTTCTCTGTATTGGGGGAAGGGAGCTGCTAGTTCCACCCCCTAACTCCACCCCACAGGGGAGTCTTGAAGATGAGATCTTATGCAAACCACCTCTTTTACTTGTCAAAGAATGGATGGGGGGGGGGAGGCTTAAAAAACCAATAGATGGGAATAATATTTGCATGATTTTGCAGCACCCCCTTGGGACTTAATTTAAGAGTGGATAAAGAGACAACCTAGAGGGAGCGTTGATTTCAGAAGATCCCTTGTTGCCCATTTCTCTGCCATGGCCAAAATGTTTCTCCTCCTCCTCACCTACTTCACTGATAAAGTATGGCTTTCCTATGTGGAGGTGAAATGTATTTTGGTCTTCCAGTGCACAACTCTACTTTTCTGGATATTTTATCCCTTTCTTGCCCCCTTATTACTTTCCTTAAAGATGATACAATGCAAATGGATTTCCCCCCCATTTCTTCCACCTGCAGGTGCCTGGGCCCAGTTCACCTTGACTCAACCACCATGGAAATATAAGAAGAGATCGAAAGCTAAGGAACTATAGGAAATCTGCATGTTAATCTGCTGATATCATCTCCATTTCTTAAGGACTGGCTCCATTTCTTTCCATTGTAAGACGCAGAACCCGGTGTTTCTGCTCTCACTAAAAATTGCTCACTGCAGGCAGTCCTTTTGCCAGCTGCCTGCACCAAAGCAAAGTGAAACTTCCTAGCCGGGCAAAGACACCCTCTCAATTTTTGTCTCAGTTCTCCATATGTTTCCCCTCCCCCATCCTTTCTTCAGTGGGTGACCTAATCATCTCCAGGACTTCATGCCGCCTCTCTTGCCACTTCTCTTTAGGATAGTCCGAGTTTTCAGGATCCGGTCCAGGTTGCCTGGGACAGCCCTTCCCGCCTCTAATGCTGTGCAGTGGACTGAATCCTCCCTCTGAGTGGGGGATTGGAACCCCCTTCCCCACCCCATTGCCTTCTAGATCTGTTGAATTAATGTATGGACCACCCAAGAATGCTCCAGTTGCTGATGATGGAATTTTTAGAAGAAAAAGTGCAGAGAGGCCAGATTGGGGAGTCTGTTGCAAATAGGATTAATGTATATGAGCAATACATAACCTGAGAATGACAACGATGAAGTAAGCTTGTATACTGCATGACTACCAATGGTCCTGGGCCTCTCCCAACAGTCAGACAAAAAACTATAATCAATTCAATACAAGAGAAGCGATGGGCTGCACAAGGAAGCAAGGGGTCTCACTCTCCCTCGCCAAAGGCCTGGGTGAAGAGCCAGGTCTTCATGGATCTTCTAAACAACAGAGTGGGGCCACCTGGGTCTCAGGGGGAACGTCTCCAAGAGGGCTGGTGCTGCGATGGAGAAGACGCACTTCCAGGGTCTCGATAGATGACATGGTTAGCCGGCCAGATGCTAAGGTGTGGGAGGTAGAAACTGAGCTCTGATTGATGATGCGGTACAATAAGCTGAACCGCTTACCATAGCATGATATGGCCTGGCACACTACATACATCACTGTACTTTTGAACGGTGATGATAGGAAGTACAATGTGAGATCCCATCAGAGCCCAGCAGGTGCCTCCATCGTTCCTTTCCCGCATGAGAAAAGAACAACAACAGAAGCTGCTTCTTTCAAGGCATTCTCCCTGACCTCCTTTTGAAGAAGACCATGAAGTGATGCCTAAGAGATGCTGATTCCCCCCCCCCCCCCCCGGGCAAATGGTGTGGCAGTAGGGTGTGCACAGAGCAGGGGACTTGGAGAAGAAGGTCTTCAAAGTATAACCCCGACATTCATGATTTTTGTCTTGGATGTTGGTATGAGTGTGGACAGGAATTTGCCTTAAAGAGGAGCAAATCTCCATCAGACAAAGGCAGTAGGGAAGTTTTGTTGAAGTCATTGTCAGGATCTACGCAAACCAGAACCTTCAATTGTTTTTATTTTGCTTTTATTGCTAACCATAGATCAATAGTGAAA